TTCATGTTATTTTAGTCACACCTGTAAGATAAACCTGGGAAGATCTCATCAGACAAGCATCTGTAGAAATCCATAGTACTCATGTGTACATTGCATATTAAAATTCTCCCTCTGACTAGTTTGACAGCATCGCGATGGTTGCCAATCACAGCTGGCATGCATGGAGTTCTGCCACAGCCCAGCAATGTGCCCACACCCTCCCTATTGCTCATACAACTTGATGGAGTAGGCATCGTTCTCCCTGCTTTATGAAGGGAGGTTTGGGACAGGATGAGGGACTTGCCCGGAGCCCAAGGCCCCTGAAAGCTGAGGGTGGACAGATCTGTGTCAAGCTGAATACTCTTCCCCGAGCCATGCTGGCCCTCGTGGTTGGCGTGCTGTCCACTGCGTATCTGGCAGGCTTTTATTTAAATCTCTGAGGCCACCAGAAAAAAAAGTGAGAAAGAGAGACGTAATTAGGATGCAGTTCCTGCCAAAGCAACCCTGTAACCCAGTATCCAGAGCGACCTGTTTAGATGCCAGCTGGGCGAGCCTCTCCCTGGAGTCCCGTGGGATTCAGGTCCGTTCTCCTGGCACAGCCCCTCTCGTCATCTTCCTTAGAGCCCTCCCAGTCACACTGTGGTCTTTTTGTATTTTTCTCCCTTGCTTATGCTCCCTCCTGCCCTCAGACCTCTGTTCCCAAGATTCCTTTTGCCTATAAGACCCCAGGAAACCCTCCTGTCTCTGCCTCCTGGTGCATGTGGCCCATTTAGGAATCCTGTGTCAGCAGGCAGCCCAGCTCGCCCACCTCCACACTCATCTCATGCTCTGAGACATGTGTCCATGTGCCTGCCCTGGACACCTGGGAGGGCAGGACTGCAACTCTGCTCTCCATTTGTCTAGCCCTTGGCCCCTGACAGGCAGAGAGCAGAGGGAGAGAAAGGCCTGGAACCAGGTGTGGTGGCACATGCTTGTAATCTTGGCACCTAGGAGGCTGAGGCAGGAGGACTTCCAGTACTTTGAGGCCAGCTGAGCTACATATGAGTTCAAGGCCAACCTGAACTATACAACAAGACCATGTCTCAAAAAACACACACACAAAGAGACAGGGTGGGGGAAGACCTATAACCCTATACTTATAAAAAATGTTACCTGTGACATTGTCACCTGTGACTTGAGCAGGTCCTTCAGGAAATAGTCTTCAAGAGGCACTGTCATCACAGAAGGTGACAGTGCTGTGGGTGTCACTGGCCCTGAAGACCTTCCAGGCATGGAGGTGGGTGACAGTGACATCGAGGGCCTTGACCCAGGGCTGGCCTGGCTACTGTGTGTTGGGTCTTAGGTTTGTGTTTTTTTGACACTGGAGATGGACGCAACCTAGGACCTTGCACCCTTGAGGTGAGTGCTGTACCCCTGAGCCACACCCCAGGCCCTCTATCTTAGCATGTAACAAAAAAGTTAAAAGAATAAAAATACAAAATTTTAAACATAGTCTCGCTACACAGCCTGGGGTATGGTGTACTCTGGGGTGGAATCGCCTAAGGATGCATACTGACAATGTGTCCCCTCGGTGACCCAGCCCTACTGCATGGGGCCTTCTCCTGTCCTGGCTGGACTCTGGGGCAGTACCGAGGTCTCCACGGCCTCAGCACTGTCTCCACAGCAGTACCTTATCTCTGGGCACCTTCTGTGCCAGTTTTCTGCCCTGTGGAACAGCTGTTGGAGCCAACAGCCCTGGAGACTGGTTGCTTTCCCCCAAGATTCAGAACAAGTCCCCACACCCGCCCCTAGAAAACAGACTATTTGTAAGAATATGAAAGAGGCAAAGGAGAGGAAAAAAAAAAGCCAAGCATAGTGGCACATTCCCGTAATCCCAGAACTTGGGAGGCTGAAGCAGGAGGACCAAAGTTCCAGCCCAGCCTGGGCAATTTAGTGAGACTTTATTTCAAAATAAAAAAAAATAAATAGGGGCTGGAGATGCCTGGGCTGCCCCCCTGTGACAGGGGCTTCCTCCTCCTCCAAGCTGCTTGGCTCAGCCTGAGGAAATCACCCTCACACCTGCCTTTCTTTATGGTTACCCAGGCCCCTGGGCCTCCCAACAGCCTCCCTGAGTGACAAACTCAGTGTTCTGTGGCAGAGAGGGATGAAGAACGGAATCCTGATGCGTGGGCCAAGTGGGGAAGTGAAGGAAGAGGTGGAAGCGGTTTAGTTAAGGATGTGAGTGTGGACTCGTTGGCCCAGCCTCAGTCAGGGCTTCAGGTGGACAAAGGGGCTGCATCTTCAGTGTCCAATGAACACTGTGGGGCAGCCATAAGGCAGGACCCCCCGGTACTCAGAAGGATGCTCCAGAGGTAAAAGCTGGCTGATACTTAACAACAACAACAAAATACCCCTCGCTCTCATTCTTGGGGTGGAAGGGCAGATAATAGGGGAATGAATATGAGCAACATATTTCCTACACATCGAACCCCTCAGTGCTAGACGAGGTGGGGGGCAAGGCAAAGTTGAAGATGCAAGAGTGAAAATGATCCGAGCATATTATGAGCTTGCACCGATCTGCCGAAGGGAAGCCTGTGAGTCCAGATAGCCAATTAAAAAAAAAAAGTGGAAAAAAACATACAAAGCATCCGTGGGGGACAGATAAGAGCTTTGCCGGACTTCCTTATAGCTGTTTGACTGGCAGCACGGTCTAGTATTAAATCCTGGGTGGGGCCTCAGACATTCTCAGAAGCTCTGAAGGTCTCAGTCTGGCTCTGCCCAGCCTGACTGATGGGGTGGTGGATTCACTGTCTCTGTCAGAAGTGTCGCGTGCGCCCTGGGCATGAGCGTGCTCGAGTGGGGTCTTCCGTTACATAACAAGAGGTGTGGAGACAAGAGTCATCTGTCTGTGCATCTTAGAGCAGTAATGGTGTGTGGCCAAAGAGTGTTCTAACTGCATTATTTAATCCTGGGCTTGGAAATCAAAAGAGCTCCTCCTAGTCTCCCTGCAAGCCGTCACTGGTGTCACCTTTAGAAGCCTTCTCTGTCCACCTCCTTGCGCCTCCCTCCCCTACACAGTTACCCCCTCTCTTAGGCCATGAGTATTATTATATTACCACCTTGCACTGGAATAATTTACTTTCATTTCTAATTCCCTGCGAGACTTCCGGAGGAGCATCGCTTATTCGTGATAGTATCTGATTCTTCTGTGTATCTAGCATGGTGCCTGGGACATACAGAAGCCTGCAGGGTTGTCCCACTGGCTGGTAACAGCAGCGCGGAGGTCAGGGAAGTGTCCAAGGAGGAGCGGTGCTTTCGTAAGACAGGCGAGGCGTCTGGTGCAGAGCAGGATATTCTGGAACCATTGCTTCTAGACTGTCTGGTTTCTCACCACACCTTCTCGGCTTGGTGACTCACAGCAGGGACGGGAGGCACTGTCCCCTAACACCTCCCAGGCTTTGGCCTCAAAAAGGCAAAAAAAAAAAACAAAACAAAAAAAAACGACAGTCAAGGGCTTAAGGCCTGTCTGGCTGCGTGGCCCATCGCTTCTCCACGTTTCAATTCCTCATTATGTAGAAGTCCTGAGTCAAAATGGGAGCCCCATTTCCCTGGGGCTCAGAAAACTAAGTCTTTGGGCCTTGCTTTCCTTCTACTTGCTGCAGAAGGGCAGGACCTGTGCCCAGGGCCTCACTGGGACGAGTCTGTCCTTTTGCTACAAGTGCATTTCTCCCACAAACACCTGCTCTCCGCTGCCTACCTGTACCCACCTGCTGTCCCTTAATTCTGTGGATCAAGGCTGCTCTCAAAAGCCCTTTCAGACAGATTCTATCTCTATAAAAACTGCAGATGATAAATTTAGAAGCCTACATATGCCATGGCACTATTTATGTTTTATTTTAAACGACACATGCTGCCCTTTGTCTGTGTGCATTCGTGGCTGTGCCAGAGTACCTTCTCCCTAGGTTTTGCATCCTCAGGAGCCATATTTTCCAGGCTCACTTGCAGACCTGGCCAGAGAGAGCCAGAGATGGGCACTGAAGAATGGGAGGAGGGGGAAGCCAAGGAAGGAAGGTCTCCACTTATCCTTGCCCGGCAGCCCCTCACTCCTGGCTTCCCGCTGAAGCCTGTAGGGGCTGCCTGGGCTCTGGATGCTTCCACATGGCCCCAGCTCCTGGGTGCTGGCGACACTGTTCCCTCCCTCTATATCTGCAGCCCCAGGCTAGAGTGACTTCTACCTTTCTCTGGCCTCTTAAGTCCTCCATTACCTGTGTTCAGTATCTCACATGCTTCTGCCTTTAGATTGCAGCCAGATTAAAACACTCTGGATAGGGCCGGGGATTGAGCTCAGTGATTCCGCAGCCGGCTTCGCAAGGGCAAGGACTTGAGTTTGATCCCTGGTACCAAAACAAAAACAAAAAAGCAAAACAAAACACTTTGGATACGTATATGCACCACATAGGGGGATGACAATATAAATACGTGAATATTTTCCTGGCTATACATGTACAAAGAACTGTCTGTCTATCTATCTGTCTATGAGACACACAGAAGATCTGGAAGTTTACACATGAAATTTAAGAGTGGTTTTACACCCAGGAGAAGGAATAGGGGACTAGGTTGGGGTGGAGTCATGAAGCCAGGTTGTAGGATTGTAATAAATAGCTTTATTGTGGCATAATATGCACATATAAGACCATAACAAGGTTGGGTGGTCATGAAGCCAGGTTGTAGGATTGTAATAAATAGCTTTATTGTGGCATAATTAGCACATATAAGACCATAACTTTGATATGTGTACGTAGGTGTTTGAAGTTTTTACATATATTGCTTATCTAACATTAAAAATATGAATAGCAGGAGTGGGTAATAGATCAGTGCTTTAGCCTGAGCTTTCAGGCAAGTAGGGAACATCTGCCGAGATGCTAATATTTGTTCATCCACCCATCCATCCATCCGGCCAATGTTACTGTATACTGTGTGCCAGGACCTGTGCGGGTTCTGAGAGTTTGTCAGTGAACAACACGAGTGTGATCCTCACCTGCATTATCTGGAGTAGTTAAAGCACAATTATGTCAATATTCATTATTTATGTGTAAAGAACTCATCTATGAAGAAGTAAAGAGGACAAGGAAAGGCTTATACCAGTCAGAGAAAGATATCCTGAGGGAGTGGTTCATCAGCTGCAACCCAAAGGATGAGCAAATAAAGCTTTACCCCTGGAGGGAAATGGTCAGGCAGAAGGGAACGACCAAGGCCCTGGTCTCAGGGAAACAGCTCTAATGAGGAAGTGTGCAGGTGTTTTTCACTGTTGCCTGTGGTGTGTCAGTGCCAGCCTGATGGGCAGGTACAGAGATTCTGTGGGCACAGTCTTCAGTGCTATAGCCTTGCAGCCCATAGAGCTGGCTCTCTGAACCCCAGGAGTGTGTGTGTGTGTGTGTGTGTGTGTGTGTGTTTGTGTGTGTGGTGCTGGGGCTCAAACCCAGAGCTCTACCACTGAGCTACATCCTCAGGCCCAGCGCTGTGGGTCTTACAGTAATTTACAAGGCTGATTTGGAGGTGGTTCAGAAATTCAGGATATTCTTGGATCAAAAGAACAAGAGTAGTGCCTGGGCTGGGCTAGGCTGTAGCTTGGTGGCAGAGTGATTGCCCAGCATCTTTGGGACCCCGACTTTGAACCCCAGCAGTACAGAAAACCAAACCCCCACACCCAGTCAGACCAAAGATCCTCATGTCCATCCTCATCCTTTGATAAGGTCAACTGCTACCTTTTTTTTTTTCTTTTAACTGAAACAGAGACTCATTATATGGTTCAGGCTGGCCTTGAACTCAATATGTACTCCAGGCTGGCCTCAGCCTCCCGAGTGCTGGGATTACAGGCACTCACCACCATGCCCGGCTCTACAACTGCTATTTTCTCAATATTAAGTACAACAAGATGCAAATATTTAAGACAAGTCCTCAATCCATCTTCTGCCCACCTTTCCACCCTGAGCTCTCCTTGAAAACAAATGCTGGGACTTGTGGTGAAAAGCTCCCTTCAGCAAGCTCCAGTCTTCCTAAACTTGGTTGTTTTTCTGTTTTTTTGCATAATTTAATTCCAAAAATGGAATTGTTTTTGCCTCTCAGTTTTCCCAATTCATAGACATTCGGCAATGGCTCTCATCTTATTTTATTGTCAGCCACCAATTCTTTTCCCTCTGAAATTAGGTTGCATATAAAGTAGCCCAGTCACTGCAATTAGAGTTTAGTGACTCCGTATCCAGTTCTCTCCAGACATAGAGAAGCAGGTTACACTTCCTTTTGATGTCCAAATTACAAAGGTAAGGACAGACTCTTAGCTTGACCTCCTGTCCTCCAGCTATTTCTGGGTGTCCCCAACAAGTTGTGTCACTCATCCTTACAAAACAGCTGCTGTAACTACACAGAGCCGCTCAGTCCTTGCTCTCCTGCCTGGCTCCTCCAAGTCTGCATCATGCAGGGCCCCTTGGAAGCTCTTGGTGCTGCCACTGCCCTTCATGAAAGCTGCACAGCTCCAGCCAAGGTCCTGGTCCCTGCCAGCGCCTCCAAGCCTGCCAGTCCTTGGGTGATCAGAGGAGAATCGGGCATGGTGCAGAAGCTGTGGAAACCGCTTGTCCTCCCAGCTCCAAGCTCCGCCTTGTCAACTGCGATCTGGAGCAATAATGGTTGAGACTGAGCCCCAAAAAGGTTTTGTGTCAGCCATCTAGGTGGCTGTGATCCCAGCATTCTAAGAGGCTGAGGCAGGAGGATCCCACGATCTGGCCCAGCCTGGGAAACTCAGCAACTCAGTGAGATTCTCTCTCAAAAAAGAGCTGGGGAACACAAGCTCAGCAGGAGGGCCTTGGATTCTTTCCTTAGTTTTACAAAAAAGTTATTTTTTTTCCAATTATCTCCCATTCCCCCACTGTCTGGCCTGCTCTTGTCCAATCATTGGGGTTTAAATATGTCCAAAGAATTATATGGGAAGAGAATCCACTCCCATTCCTTCCTTCAAACTTCCTCATCTTGGTCTTTAGCCATCCTGGCCATTATCCCTAGTTCTGCCCTTCAAGTCACAAAACCCCCCAATCCCTTCAACAGGGCATGGCACACAGGCCCCTGGAGTCTGTGTGTGGGGGCCGGGTAATTTTATCAGCAGCTGTCTGTCTAAAATTAAAGCTTAAAGTTAAACTCAGCCAGCCTAAATATATTCTCTGTGGTACTTAATAATCTACACTTGCTCTAACGACTGAAAGGCTCGATTTTAAACAGATCATGAAGAGGGAAACCCCACGCTGCAATGTCTTCTTCAGCAAAGAGAGAGGCCAAGTGTGGCACGTTCACCGGAAGTCACGGGGCTGGGTGGCGACAAGGTGCTTGTTTTGGGGATGAAGCAAGTGCTGCTCCGGCCACAGGTCTGGCTATGTAGCTGTGGTTTATGGGCAGGGCGTATGGCTGGGCCCCAATCCTGCCTTGTGAGGCCTGTTTTGCCTCTACAGTTTCCTATTTAATTCGCAACCCTGAGAATGGGCTATGATATGAACTCCAGGCGCTTGTCGCTTCCGTCACCACACACCGAGCTCCCCTGTGAGCTCCATGAGCCTTTGGGGAATGATCATGTTTTTCACACAACATTCTCTTTAGAAGTTTATAGTTTTAAGAAAATTAGTGGGTGCTTCTGGAGGCCGTATGTGATTTGCTTCTACCACTCGATGCTAACCAAAGGCCGAAGGGGCTACTAACTTCATGTTCCTAACCAGGAAGCTGAAACAGGTTGAACAACTTGTTCAAGGACACACCTGAGCCAGGGTTCTGGCATGGAGAGCCGGATTCCACTATCTCTGCTCTCACTCACCTCAGAGTCCCTCTCACCTACTTCCATTAAACTCCTAGGGCTGGTGGGCTGGGCATGCAGATCACTGCAGAGCACTTGCCTAGCAGACAGGAGGCAAAACAAACTCCTAGGACTGTTGTCAGTCAGTCAGCTTTTTCTTGACACATGTTTAATTTGAACATAGCAAAGCATGTAAATTGGTGTAAAAAATATTTTCTTTGGGCCAGGGATTTAGCTCAGTGGTTCCTCCTCTTGCCTTGCAAGCACAAGGTCCTGAGTGTGATCCTGAGTACAAAAAAAAAAAAAAAAAAA